AGGGGAAAGTAGGTATATTAGACAAAATTATCTGAATCTCTGGTCGTTCTTAGAAGTCGATGTTGGGGTTGAAAATTGCTTGGACAAAAACAGGATCAAAAGCTTTGAAGATCAGGAAGAGGCAGCCATAGCTAGAGTACGCAGAGAACTCATGAGAAACATGCCCTTTTTGGTGGTGATTGATAACTTAGAAAGTGAAAAGGATTGGTGGGATCACAAACTTGTAATGGATCTTCTTCCCCGTTTTGGTGGAGAGACACACATAATAATTTCCACACGCCTTCCTTCTGTGATGAATTTGGAGCCTTTGAAACTTTCATACTTATCTGGGGCTGAGGCAATGTCGCTAATGCAGGGTAGTGTAAAAGAATACACAGAAAATGAAGAATTGGATGCTTTACGAGCTATTGAGGAGAAAGTGGGACGGTCAACGTTGGGACTTGCAATTGTAGGTGCAATATTGTCCGAGCTGCCCATTCTTCCAAGTAAGCTATTGGAAACCACTAATAGAATGCCCTTAAAAGAGTTTTCATGGAGTGGCAGGGAGGTTAATTCGTTGAGGCGACACACTTTCCTTCTGCAACTCTTCGAGGTGTGTTTCTCAATTTTTGATCATGCGGATGGACCAAGGAGCTTGGCAACCAGAATGGTCCAGGCAAGTACTTGGTTTGCACCGACTGCAATTCCAGTTTCTTTATTAGCCCTAGCAGCTCACAAGATACCAGAAAAGCATCAAGGGACCTGGTTATGGAGAAAGTTGCTGCGTTCTTTAACTTGTGGCTTCGCTACATCATACACCAAAAAATCAGAAGCAGAAGCAACTTCCATGTTGGTAAGGTTTAATATTGCAAGAAGCAGTACCAGGCAAGACCATATCCATTTCCATGAACTCATCAAGCTATATGCTCGCAAGAGAGTAGTAACTGGAGTTGCACAAGCCATGGTTCAAGCTGTCATCACTCGTGGATCAATATCTCAACACTCGGAACATGTCTGGGCAGCCTGTTTCTTGACATTTGGATTTAGTCATGACCCTATAGTTGTTGAGCTTAAGGTGTCAGATCTGTTATACCTTGTCAAGGAAGTGGTTTTGCCTCTTGCAATACGGACCTTCATTACATTCTCTCGTTGCAATTCTGCTCTAGAGCTCCTGCGCCTCTGCACCAATGCCCTGGAAGCAGCAGACCAAGCATTTGTTACGCCCGTTGAGAAGTGGCTGGGTAAATCACTTTGTTGGAGGCCGATCCCAACTAATGCTCAGTTGAATCCTTACCTTTGGCAGGAGCTTGCGCTGTCGAGAGCCACAGTCCTAGAAACTAGGGCAAAGCTAATGCTTAGAGGGGGACAGTTTGACATAGCTGATGATCTAATTAGGAAGGCTCTTTTTATCAGAACTTCAATCTGTGGTGAAGATCACCATGACACCATAGCTGCTCGTGAAACTCTTAGCAAAATCACCAGGCTTCTTGCAAATGTTCAAATTCATACTTCACCATAGATTCCATAATTTTTCTTTTGTAAGCAGATTTACTCTAGAGTTTATACAAAAGTCTGAATTAAAACAGATGTATACCCCATTCAGAGAGATTTTCTATACCAATTTTTAGTCTGAAAGAGAATCCATTCCTTTCCCATAACATCCTTTCTTGTTATGTTTATGTGAATAACATTTGTCTGCCTCATCCTTTCTTGGTGTTCTTAAAGCTATGTTCTTTTACGTTGATCATGTGATAGTTGTTTTGGGTTTTAGATATATCTTTGGTTTGGATAGAATTATGTATATTCTCTGAATTACCTATGGGGTTTCTGTGATTTTTTGCCAAAATGTTTTGGATTGATTTAGTTGTGGGATTTACTTAATTTTTCTATTTTAACTGATGTTTGTTTAAATGTCTAAATTCCAATTTAAATTAGGATGTGATGTAGATTTTAAACTTAGATTTCTCTCTACTGCTTGAGCATAAATGGGAGCAAGTTTCTTGTTTTCTGGTTTTCTTCAACAGGATGAAGTTTATACATATTTTGCTTCTGAGTAATATGGAAATTGAATGAAAGGTGGAAAACTGTACGTGAGAGTTTCCCTTCATACGGCTCGAATCACTCTCAGATGCCCCGAGAGGCATTCTTTCCTTGTTTGAGCCTTTTCTTTTTCTTTCCTTTTTTCGGATTCGAAGTGGCAGGTCCTTATCAGGGAGGGGTCTGGGGGATAAGGGTGGAGCTACAGATGCCTGTCCTTATAAATCTCCATCTATTGGAGGCCAAGACAATTTACTTTCAATTTTACTTCGATATTTTTCTTATAACAAATGCTGCTACCTGGAGGAGACAAGAATTTACCTCTATTATTTCTTAAATTTGTGCCAGACCTGGTTCATGTGTTTGAAGTGTTTCTGCCCCAACTTCTTTTTTATCCCAACCCATTGGATCCATTGAATGGAGAGGCAGCTGCTAGGCGTGATCGTTCTGCTTATGAACAAAGAGTAAAAGGTAGTAATTATTTGCAGCTTTTGTGAATTGAGTATATATTGGTTGCCTCTTGTATGGCTTGCACTGACATGCTTGAGACTTACTTTTAGTTCCTTCCTTTTTTCGTTGTTCACATATACCTTTTTTCGTTGTTCGCATATACAGCCTTCGTTGCAGGGGGAAGAGGAGGATTTCAAAATCATAACTGGACTATTTTTAAGAAAGTTTTGAAGGTCATGAATCTGTGATGTTTAAACATATAAGCTTTACTGTAGGTTTATTAGAACACTTAAAACTAGTTTTAAAGTGTTATGAAATTTCACTCTGCAATAGTCATATGAAGTGGAAAATATTTGAGATTTTAAGGTTTACTTAAGAGTTCAAATCAATAGCTGTGTTTCAAGACTTGTGGCACCTTTTAATCCAAGTTTGGTTTTTGACTCCAGATGTCAAATGAGATCAGCAGTATTCTCTTCGAAGGTTTGAATTCCTTAGAAAACTAGTAATGTGCAAATAAATAATGAATTCCTTAGAAAACTAGTCGTGTGCAAATAAATAGTAAATCTTACCTGTATCAGGTGTATGCTTTTGAAACCTCTATACCTCACACATATTTAAGACTTTTGATAACATAAAACAATAATGTGGAAGATAGCTTCTTCTTTGAACCTTGAGGATCAGATATTGCTGCCCATTCTGCAGTTGCTGGAAGGATTTAGGATACATCAGTTACTGCATCTAATTAAAAAATGGATGCAGTTGTGAGGGTGGTGGGAAATGTAATCCAATTTTATCTGTTCTAAGATATTTGATCCCACTGAGGATCAAAGTTGACTGTTGTTTTCTGCACAAGTTTTCTAGGAATTCTTCGGAGACATTTGTCATCTGAAGTCGGAACCACTCAAAGCCTGATACAGGGTTTGCATAACAAAGAGTTGGCAGTACAACTCTCTTCTGTTTGAATATAGCCACTGGATGATGATGAATAGGTGATGAGAATGCATTGGGATGCCTGGAGCCTTGGAAGTCACAGTTCTTGTTTTTGGAATTAGTCCAGACATAATAAATTCATGTCCACGATGAAGTCTTGTTAGAATTCATGGTAAATGCTGGGGCCTCTTGGAAAATAACCAAGCAACTCATGCTCCATTGCCATTCTTGGAGGCATTATTCTGTTATAAATAGAAAGTGTTGCAATGCGACGGAGCTACGGTCAGTCGTGTAGACAAATTTTTACCGTTGATGCATTTGGACCCAGAAAGAGAATGGTAGACAAAATCACGTATTTGAAATATGAAAAGTATCACAGCATTTAGTGCCCATGTGCTCAACTCAACTTTAGAAAGAAAAAAAGAAAAATGCTTTCTTGGTGTTTTGCTTTCACATGTTTAAATGCCTCAGATTTAAACACCTGAATCACAGTCCAGTTGGCGATTGGCATTTTGATTTTGCAACAGGCACTCAACAGTAAGCAATCACCATCTTATCTTAATATGTACTGCATGCAGCAATCTTGGGGCTTTCAGCCCCTCTCAGTCTCAGTTTTGATTTCCAGGTTCAGCCCGTTGAAGACTACCTTGCAACTTTTTCGGCTTTTGGTCAAGACTTCCTTGCAAGTTGCAACTTTGTGAAATAAAAAAAATCTCTATTTGAGCACACGTGAGTTAGACCAGTTGGTCAGAGCAGTGAGCCTATGTTTTTGCACTCAATTTCAAATTTTCTTTATATATATTAGATTAATTTAGAGTAGATTATCGCTTGTAGAATTTGAATTTTCGATGGCAATGCATATACTTGTGATCACCTCGAAACCTTTCTAGTGGGTTGTTCTCCCTAGAAAGTACGACCAAAAGAAAAAGAACAATCTGTTGGAGCAATTTGTCAATCACTGACATTATACATCTCCATTATTTATTTTTGGATATCCAGTAATGTCTTGGTTGTCACCAATCCATCACATTTTTTGTATGATTGATTGGTATAAGTAGACCCCACTGTGAAAGTATTGTGTTAACTGTTTGATGTGACACCTTCTTTTTTGTAACCTGGAAAATTTTGAAATAGGTTAAAAAAAAAAGAAAAGAAAAATCATAAAAAACATAATGCCCTCACGCAGGATCGAACTACGGGCCTTTAGTTTACAAGACTAACGCTCTACCACTGAGCTATAAGGGCTTGTTGTTTATACGACATATAAAACTATTTAAATAATGTTATTTCCGTTCTTGCCTCATTTAAATTTTAGGATTCCCATGTTTTATTTTATCCAGGTTCATTGTTCAACATTCATAACCAACCAGCTCTTATTCCAGTGATATCTTTCTTTCAATGTTGAAAGAAATCTCAACTTCGAATGTACTCTTATTCTTGTGATATCTTTTATTTTTGAAAAAGATCCCAAGTTCGAATATATTTATCCAAAATCCTATCCAATGGTTTGATAATTATGCATATGGAGATATCATTCACCCATAAGGGACCAGAATGTTCTTGCATGTGTGTCATCATGCGTATGCAAAGCAGAACATGACCTCTTTCAGTCCAAAACAGTAGATGAATATTGATAACAATAAATCATAGTTGATTAATTTACACAACCGCCATGGACAACAATCACAAGGGCAGGAATTTTTCCATAAGCCCTTAGTTTTTTTTTTTTTTGGGTTTAATTTCCAAGCATCAGTACAATATAATGTACAGGTACAACAGAGAATTTAATTTTCCAAGCATCAGTACAATATAATGTACAGGTACAACAGAGAATTAACTGGAGCAGGGTTTATGAACCTATGGATCAGCTTGGCCTGCAACTGCGTCATCACTGGAGTCATATTCATCTTCACTCAGATCCTCATCATCACTTGATTTCTCCTCTGGAGCACCACCTATGTCTTCTGGCTTTGCATACTTCTCACAATACTCTGTAAGTTACAAAGAATAATCAGAAAAATACATAAAAACAATGAACATAAAGCAGAATGACACGCGGTGAAATAGATTTAAGTAGGGATGTTGAAAGCAGTGATCTTATGATTTTTATTTGGTGCTGCAAACTCGTATGAACAACTACTTATGAATTACAGATGAGCAAAAGGAGTTGAGTAACAGGAAGTTTGTAAGCATGACAGGCCTACTGCAAGCTATTTTTCGTTTTGAAAATTTTTAGACTCATGATCTTAATCCTCATATCTGATAAAATGCCGATTCTAGAGATCTTTAATTTGCTACAACTCATTTTCAGCCAAAACTGAAGACCAACAAAACGTGAAATTTTAAGTTCTCATATACTAATTCCAAAAACCAAATTGTTACTTCGAAGACATCAGCTAGTTGGGCTCCAACCATCCGCTTATTCTCATCACCTGTTCATCATCATCCCGTGGCGATATTCAAACATAACAGAAATGTACTGCCAACTCTATTATGCAAACGCTACATTTTGTCATGCTCTGTGGTTCAGACTTCAGAGAACAAATTTATCCGAAGAATTCCTAAAAATCTTGTGCTGAAAACAACTATCAACTTTGTTCCTCAGTGGGGATCAATATATCTCAGAACAGATAAAATTGGATTTCCCAACCCCTTTACAACTGCATCCATTTTTCCATTAGATGCAGTAACTGACACATCCTTAATCCTTCGAGCAACTGCAGAACGGACAGTAATATCTGATCCTCAAGGCTCAACGTAGAAGCTATCTTCCACATTATTGTTTTATAGTATCAAAAGTCTTAAATATATGTGAGGTATAGAAGTTTCAAAAGCATATACTTGATACAACTAAGATTTACTATTTATTTGTACATGACTAATTTTCTAAGGAATTCAAAGCTTCGAAGAGAATACTGCTGGTGTCATTTGACATCTGGAGTACTTCAAAGTTGGATTAAAAGGTGCCACAAGTCTTAAAACACAGCTATTGATTTGAACTCAAGTAAACCTTAACATCTCAAGTATTTTCCACTTAATACGACCATTGCAGAGTGAAATTTCATAACATTTTAAACCAGTTTTAATTGTTCCAATAAACCTACAGCAAAGCTTATATGTTTAAACATCACAGATTCATGACCTTCAAAGCTTTTTTAAAAACAGTCCAGTTATGATTTTGAAATCCTCCTCTGACTCCTGCAACTAAGGCTGTATATGTGAACAACAACAAAAGAAAGGAACAAAAAGGAAGTCTCTAGCATGTCAGTGAAAGCCCTACAAGAGGCAACCAATATATACTTAATTCACAAAAGCTGCAAATAATTACTACCTTTTACTCTTTGTTCATAAGCAGAACGATCACGCATCATTAAAGCAGCTGCCTCTCCATTCAATGGATCCGATGGGTTGGGATATAAAAGAAGTTGGGGCAGAAACACTTCAAACACATTAACCAGGTCTGGAAAAAAGTAAAGAAATAATAGAGGTAAATCCTTGTCTCCTCCAGGTAGCAGCACTAGTTATAAAGAAAACTACAAAGTAAAATTGAAAGTAAAGTATCCGGGTCTCCATATAAACCATATCATTTTACATGCACAAGAAGGTATGTATAGGCCTACCAAACATGGGGCTCCAAGTTTGGTTGATAACATCTAAACAAACTGATCCAGACCTGGAACTCAAAAAATCACCATTAGCCGGACTTAAGTACAAAGCCTTGCACAATATTCAAGTTTTACAAACTATTCTATAATAAAGTAAAATACAACTCAAAGAAAGCCAAAGTAAGGGATTTTCAGCATCTTCCAACTCACATTTCATCAACATTTGGGTGGTAAATTTTGTTGACAAAGCCAACAGATGGAGATTTGTAAGGATAAGCATCTGGTAGCTCCACCCTTATCCTCCAGACACCTCCCTGATACGGACCTGCCACATTGCATCCAAAAAAGGGGAAAAAAGAGAAAAGAAAAGGCCCACCTTTCATTCAATTTCCATATTACTCGAAAGCAAAGTATGTATAAACTTCATCCTGTTGAAGAAAATCAGAAAACAAGAAACTTGCAGCCCATTTATGCACAAGCAGTAGAGAGAAGTCTAAGTTAAAACTCTAAAATCACATCCTAATCTAAATTGGGATTCAGATATTTAAACAAGCATCAGTATCCAGATCAGTTCATTCAGAAAAATTAAGTAAATTCCCACAACTAAATCAATCCCCAAAAAAAAAAAAAATCAATCCAAAACCATGGTTAAATGAAATAGTTCAGACTTCAGAGAGGAGACTATATATGTGGTCAGTAGCTGGTAACTATAATTCTATCCAAAACAATATAAATCTGAAACCCAAAACAACTTTCACATGATCAACATAAACGAACACAGCTTTAAGACATAACATGGATAGAACCCACCAGAGATGACATCAAAATTAGCTCAAATTCAACCAAGGAGACACATAAAAACAATAAACAAAAAAGGGGGAATATCATATATGGGTTCGGATGATTTACTCTCTTTGGGTCCATTGAAATCCACATAAAACTCTTGCATGCCGTCATTGATCATCTCCACCTTGTAATCACTCATCATCCTAGTTCATACCAACCAAAACCAAAGACAAGAAAAACAAAAATTTAATTACAAGTAGTGAAAAACTAAAACTAGAACTAAAAAAAAAAGCATATTTGAGAAAATATACAGTTTCATCAAATCCATCTCACGGCGTTTGCTTGGCGAAGACATTTTTTGGGTATGGAAAATGGGTGAGAGACGCTGAGAGAGATGTTCTGAGTTTCTTCACAAATAAATTCAGACAGAGTGAGAGAAATACTGAAGTATATATGTATATACATGTGCTCAGAAAAGTCGGCAACTCTGCAGTAATAATGGTCCAGTAAATTTCTGCAGTCATTGTTAGATTTCCCAAGGTAGAACTTACATTACACGTAACGCGATACCACAGTACATAACAATGCGTGATTGACTTAAAATACCGTCACTTTACATGCAAGTCTTTCTACCACGATAGATTTTCTGAATTGTTAAGTAAAAAGAGTGAGTGCGTGAGAATTTCTTGGTCATATGGTAATTTCCTCTTTTGATAAAGTAGTTAAATGGTACATACAACTTTTGTTGTTGCTAAATATGGTAAATTTCCACCTACTATTTATGTTTTTCCAAATTCTAAAAAATATTAATTTATTTTTCCCACCCACCCACTATTATTCCAATAATACCCTTTTTAACTCCCTAATCTTAATCATTGGGTAGAGCCGACTAAGGCCCCGTTTGGGATTGCTTTTTTTCGCCAAAAACCTACTTCACTTTAAAGTTAAGCAGTTTAAGGTGTTTGGTAAAAAGAAAATATCCCGATTATTTTAAAAGCAATGGCCTTTTGACAGCAGCTTTTAAAAGCAGACTCTGGGTTGCTTTTCAAAGCTGCTTTCAAAAGAAGCAGAGATGAACATTTAATGAATTTTTTTAATTCCCAAAATACCATCATTCTTTTTAAAAAATGACACCACCTCCACTTCCACATCCACATCCAACTCCACCACTTGCACCACCACATTCACTACCTCCACAACCACCGCCACCACCACCACT